TAATGCTAGAGCATCCTTTTAGGATGAGCTTTTGGAGTTCAGTGAGGTGATAGACCGATATAGGTAAGACTTCTATTGAAAGACCAGCAAGATTGAGGCATTCCAGCTTGGTCAGATGAGTAAAAATGTCATCTGGAAGTCCCGTTAACGACCTAGCATCAGATATTTCAAGAGCTGTTAACATTCTAAGTTCTTTAATGCAGTGAATTTTCTCCAGAAAATCACAGCCCCTCAGCACAAGTACACTGAGCATTTTCATGTCAGACAGAGATTTGGGCAAATATTTTACTCTGGCAGAGAAAAGACCTAGAATTTTCAGCTCCTCATCAGACTCTAAGAAGATCTCTAGGTCTTCCCTGCTGAGACTGTTTCCATCTAGCAAAAGGATAAAGTGTTTCCCAGCTTTCCTCCGTATGCCAGGTGTTTTTATTGCACCATCTTTATGGACAACTCCTCTAATGCCGTGCCACTCATAAGATTTAGCAAACACGTTAGTCAACCCAAGACTATCTGTTCTACCAAATCCAGAATGATGTTTATCTTTCAAATCCAGCATCTGTTTTTCGACACAAAGGTAATTAGCGTCAAGTTCTTTGAGAACTTGAAGATCCATAAGCTCCAAGAGAATCTGATGTCCCTTAGCATAAGCCTCATTAATACAGTTAATAGTTCCAAGATACCCTTCCATTACCCAATAAGCTATCAACTCACTATAATGTATGGCCCCTTCATCACGAAAGAAATGGATGTCCATCCAATTAAAGTCACCCAAAATACCACCTGGAACCTTGTTATATCTGCTGCTGGTTAACAGTATTGCAAGGTTGTTTTTAAAACCTGACAGATCCTCCAGAAGACATTTTAGACCTTGCACTCCAGAATCATGCTGATGGTAACTTAGTAGTTTTGCTATAATAACAACTTCAGCTGGAGTTAATTCCATGTTCCGATTGAGAAAATCTTCCACTAGGCTTCTTGCACCAGTGATCTCAAATACTTTGCTGCCGGCATTTTGCTGCAACAAAGACAATGACTTTTCTGGACTGAGGGGCTTCAAATCCATCATTATCTTACCACCGTCAGTTTTGTGTCTGCCATCCTCATTAAGAGAAGTTATTAACACCTTTAAAGAGTTCCCTGAGAGAAAGTGGAGCAGGCCTGTGATCACGTTATCTTCGATGGACAACTTTTTACCCTCATTATCGAGAATTAGGAGAAGCCTATACGGTGAAAGTCTTGAAAGAATCTTATTTTTCAAGGCTGCCAAATCCATCTCCTCGAAAACGCTATCAACTGCCTCCTCATCATCATCAATTCCCAACTCCCCAACAGTTGAACATATAGACAATTGACAAGCTATGCTGTAATAGAGTGCCCTTTCTATCTGCTTTATGCTCATAGAAACAAAGAGGCTAAAGTCAAAGACATCCTCCTTGAGTGCCAGGGAAGTTACTTTCCTTGCCATCCATGTCTTGCCAATACCTGCTTTCCCAGCAAGGACGATGGTTGAAATATTTTCCTTTTGAAATAGATCAAGTATCTTTTCTTCAAAATTCTCCTCCCTAATCTGGTTCATTTCTGATCCCTGCAAAAGCTCTGGTATCATCAGAATGAATACAGGTTCAAGCAAATGAACAGGAATGTTTGGAATTACAATCAAATAAACTGAAATCAATTGTAGTCCACAACATTTTACCATTAATTCACATTCAAGTTGCAAATATGTTCCTACAAGTTCCAGTTGCTCTAAAGGTGGCTTTCATTTTCAAGCAGAGGTTCCCTAAAAGTTCCACTGGTGCTACGCATTTTGGTGTCTGTGTAACTCCTTTCAATTTTCTCAACTAGCTGTTCCACAGCTAACCCAGACACATTCTTATGGCAACTACTCTTTTATCAAACCTGATGAAGAACATAGTTGAGGTTAGTCACCCAATAAAGTCCATCTGTGTTTCTTCAGGCTGGTAACCTATGTCACCTACTACTGAATTTGTAAAAAACATTGCAAGTGGCTACAGGATAGAGCATTAATCACTTTGACTGACCTCTATAGATACCAACCCCAACAGGAATACAGTGACAATGAATCGAAGGTACTGAAAACCTTACGACCAAAATGTTTCAATACCTCCAACAGGGTCAACTGCATTCTATCTTAACCAAATTACTATATTTCACTGTAAAGTTTGGGACGTGTCCACTTTCATCCTTTTAGCAGTCTCTAGGGATATTCCTCATCTCTTTTTATCACATGAATCTTCAGCCAAGGACCAATAAAATGGCAATCCAATGTGCAAGGCAACCACCACTAAGTTATTCATCTAAATCTTTTTTTATAAGCAGATAAAATCCGGACTGTCGTTGTACATGCAATCTAGAGAGTAAATTAAAGATTAAGAGGGAGAAAAAGAGCATTCAAGAAATCGCTATTTGACTATCTATAATAATATACATCAATGCATGATCATTCCTCTGACTTAAAATACAAAACAAATTAGCCTACAAGGCCAACCAAAGACAGCATTCTTGGTCCTTAATTGTGAAAGTAAGGCTTTTGAATCCTAGGCAAGTCCCTTCATTTCTTTTGGCTGGTTTAGAAAAACATCCTATATAGATCGTTTACTTTTGAAGTAGGCAAATGGCTACCAAGCACCATATTTTCATTCTTTGTGCACTAATCCAAATTTTAAACAAAGACTGAACAGCTTTTTAACATGGGTTATCAAGTATTTAGCGTAAGCAGCAACTTCAAGTATCATCATATGTAAATTAACGAAAACATAAACCAACATTCCACGGTTCTGAATACACTAAAATGAAGAATAACCTGAATGTTCTTAGATAAATTATCGATTAAAAAGGAACAAAAGAGCAAACCTGCAGATTTTGGACCAAAATGGAGAGATGCTATCGCCTATGCAGAGAGCTCAAAGCAGAAAACTTTTTTGTATGTAATATTTGGAACAAGTGTTAGAATTGAAATAACAACAGCCCACTGATCCTTTTCTTTTCTAAATTCTTTATGTTTTCTCTTTTCGGTTTCTTTATGAATTTCCTTTCAAAAGAAAAAGACGACAGGGTGAGAAGATGAAATTGAGCAGGGGAAAAGCAAAAAAGGTACGCGCACTCTAGCCTATGTCTGTTTTTTATTTTCCGAAGCGGAAGAAGAACACACACACACACAAACAATGAACACACGCAGAGGTAACATCGAACACACCGGCCCAAACGAGCAATCTAAGGGGGACCACAAGGAACATCCATCCAGCCAATTGGTGACAGGAGGATGCCCCCATAGACCTTAAATCCAGAGTGAAGACCCCACGATCTTTCGATGTGGGATAAAAACCCATCCCCCCGGCGCAGCTAACCACTCATATGAGGTTGGTATTTTTTTTCCGAGGCGGAAGAAGAACACACACACACACACAAACAATGAACACACGCAGAGGTAACATCGAACACACCGGCCCCAACGAGCAATCTAAGGGGGATCCACAAGGAAGATCCATCCAACCAATTGGTGACAAGAGGATGCCCCCATGGACCTTAAACCCAGAGTGAATAGCCTATGTCTGTTTGGGTTAGTTGTTTTTTTGAGATGTTTTTGAAATAATATTTTTTTATTATAAATATTTTTTCTAAAGTTTTTAGAAGTATTTTTGAGATATATTCTGGGATATATTTTGAGGTATTTTGAATATGTTTTCATGAAGTTTTTTAGAGTTGTTTTTGAAATATATTTTAAAATATTTTTAGAGTTTAAAAAATTTTATATTATTTTTTAATCCATCAATGTCACCATCCTCTCTTTACTCCTTTCTCTCTTTCTTCCTCCTTTGCCCTTTTCCCCTTTCCTCTTTCTTCTCCTCTCTTTCTTCCTCCTCTCCTCCTTCTCCATGTATTTTTTCCTCCCATCTTTCTCCTTCCATTCTTTCGGCCACTCCTCCCTTTCCCTTCCTCTCCTTTTTCCCTCTCCTCGATCTAGTCGAGGCCAGATCAAGGCTTGTGGTCACGACATCATGGCCAGATCATAGGAAGGGGAAAGGGAGGGTGGGGTGTGGCAGGAAAGGGGAGGGGAAAGGGGAAGAGAGAAGAAAGATGAGGAAGAAAGAGGAGGGAGAGGAAAGAGGAAAAAGAAGGGGATGGTGACCCAAATTGAATCGATTTTTTCACCTTTTTAATTAGAGAAAATATAGGTTTAACCTTCTCTTTTTCTAAGGTTGTTTATATGGCATTTGTTCTCTCCGCTTGGAGGTAAAGTCTCGTAGCTACAGCTCCTCCCTTTCTTTCCTCTCCTCTTCCCTTCCCCTTCCTTCTTTTTTCTTGCCACGTCTCACACCTCCTTTTTCCTCCCTTTTCCCGATCTGGGCGAGGTCTATGGTCGTGACATCATGGCCAGATCATAGGCAGGAAAAGGAAGGGGTGGGTATGGCAGGAAAAGGAAGAGGAAGAGGAAAGATGAGGAAAGAGGAGGAAGAAGAGGGAGGGAAAGGAAAAAGAAGGAGGAAGGGAATGATGATGGTGGTAGTGGTGGGTGATGGTGATAGATAAAAAAAGAAAATGGTGTAGATTTTATTTTTTATTTTTTATATATTTGGAATTATTTTGATATATTGTATGGATGTGGTGCTTTTGAAATTGTTTTTGTTTATGTTATTGTAATATTATATATGAAAAACTTATTTTTTTTAAAATGAGGAATCCAAACGGAATTAATTGTCCTCGTCTATTCTTAGGTGAAATGTAAGGGACATCATGCCAAAACACTAATACAGCTAGAATTAAATTTTAACTTGTGAAAAATTATCAAACCTGAAAAATCACTAGAGATTTTGATAAAATTAAGGAAAATGAAAGGAATTTTTTGAGCATACAGTAAACTACTTGCGGAAGAGTAAAGCATAATAGAGAAAGAGTGCAAGGAAGGCAGAAGAGGATTCCACGACTCATCCTAGAAGCAAACCCCTTTACTTTAATGTGTCAACCTAGAGGTGGCAATTATACCCAAAACCCAACAACCCACCCAATCCACCCACTAATTTAAGAGGTTGGGTTGGATAAATTGGATGTTGGGTTAATTTTGGGTTGGATAATTAAAACACACATGTATTTTGGGCGGTTTGGGTAATTAAGTTGGGTACCCATTACCCAATTAAAAAAAACAAATAAAACAAAAACACCAGTTTCTGGCGAATGAACCTCCACAACCACCAGCTTCGCACCTTTACTCTTTAGCAAATTCACAAGCCTCTCGACAAAGAGTTCTTTCTTTCTTGCTAACAACGATTTCAATCAAAAGAAAGAAATTTTCAATCCTACTTTGGGTTCATTTCTGCTACCCTTTTTGCAGTTCTATCATCCCAAATCCAAGCAGAAGTCACAAAATCTCAGATTAAAGCTGTCGAACCTTAACCCCATTTGCTCCTGTGATGTCCTTGGCTATTGTTCCTACAGGTATAAAGCCTTTATTTGTTTCTCTATATTTTTAGTTTCCCAGTACTATTTTATTTCCTACAGGTATAATCCGAGGTAGCACTTTCACGCTCATATATTTTTGCTCAAGTCTTCATGTTGGATTTGGTCAAGATTTGGTACTTCGTTTATGCATTTTTAGTTTTTTTTTATGGTTTGTTTAATGGTCTTGAAATTTATTGTAAAGAATTATTTGATTCCACGATAACAATATAAAAATATATTTATGCAGCCAAAAAACCAAGTAACCCGCTCAGTTTGGGATTGAGATATCAATTTTCCATGCTTGTGGGTGGGGGCCTGGTGGGTGTTTGAGTTGGGCTTATGCGAATTTGATTTGATTCTTTATTTCTTAACAAGGGATTTGATTCTTTCTTTACCATACAAATCCCATGTCAATTTTAGTATTGTTTAAGTGACTTATGTAAACTGATAACATTTCATTACCCCATGATCTGCTGGCTTAGAGTAGTTGATGATGATTAGATGGATGAATTTGAACTTTGATGAGTTTGAGTGACTTGCATGTTTTCCGTGCTTAGATTAATAATAGCAGTAATTAGTGCTAGACTTTCTCATGTTCTCCTTGCATGTTGACCCGTGGCTTCAATTTTGAACTTTTCTCAAATCAGTTCATCATATTAAATTACTATGATATAATTAATTATATTTCTAGTGCTTACCTTATTATATATATAACTGCTTGTGTTTGTGATCTGTTGGTTAGGGCTTTAAATAACTAGCTTCCTATCTCATCCTACTGTTTGTAAACTGATGGCAGGATATGTCAGTTGCTTGTGATCTTGATGATGATGTCGATTATTGCAGTCATGGGAGTAATACGGAGACATATAAGAGATCCCATTCAGCAGTTTGGCCTCATTTTCATAGGTTAGAACCTGATGAGCATGGTAGACGGACAGCTATATGCAAAACATGTGGTAAGAAGTACTTAGCAGATAATATGAGTGGCACATCTAATTTATTACGCCATTTGGCAAGTCATGCTCATAATGAGGAGCAACCTACTGGATTAGCTACGGTTGATCATGAGTTATATCGTGATAAGGTGGCTATTGCAATTGTTAAACATAATTACCCTTTCCAATTTGTGGAACACATTGGAATTAGAGAATTGCATTTATTTTTAAATCCTTCTGTGAAAAGCATTTCGCGAAATACAACTAAATCTGATGTGTTCAAGATTTATAGAAGAGAAAAAGAAAAGGTCAAAAAAGAGCTTGAACTTGTACACGGGCGAATTTGTTTGACATCTGATCTATGGTCTTCTATTACTAGTGATGGATACATGTCACTTACAGTACATTATGTTGATCAGAATTGGAATTTACAGAAGAGAATAGTTGTGTTTCGTCATGTACCCCTTCCTCATAATGGTCCAAATTTATCCGAGAAGCTGATTAATTTTCTAAAAGAATGGGGTATTGATAAAAAAATTTTCACCATCACTCTAGATAATGCAAAATACAATGATAGAGTGACTAGATTATTGCAAAATTATTTTTTATTTAATGGTTCTTCTATTTGTGGAAGTGAATTTCTTCATGTTCGTTGTGGTGCACATGTGTTGAATTTAATTGTAAAGGCTGGACTGGATGTGATTGATGACACAATTTATAAAATTAGAGAAAGTGTAAAGTATGTGCAAGGATCTGAAAGTAGGGTCATAAAGTTTGCCGAATTGGTGAAACAACTGTCATTGGAGACAAATAAGAAATTGCGACAGGATATAGTAACTAGATGGAATTCTACCTATCTGATGCTTGAGAGGGCCTTACTTTTTAGACATGCATTTTCTCGACTTCAAGATGTAGATGATGACCACAGGTTGTGTCCTTTAGAAGAGGAATGGCAGAGGGTCGAAAAGATTGCAAAGTTTTTGAGGCCTTTCTATGATATGACACTTTTGTTCTCGGGAAGTAAATACCCCACAGCTAACTTATACTTTCCCAATGTTTGGAAGATTCAATGTCTCTTAAATAAAGAGGCCAATAGTCCAGATTTTTTGATTAGCGAGATGGCTTCTAATATGAAGACCAAATTTCAAAAGTATTGGGACTGCAACAGTGTTATCTTATCATTTGCCATTATCTTGGATCCTCGTTACAAACTCCAGTTTGTGGAATATTGTTTTTTTGTGTTGGATCCTCAATCACGGGATGAAAAGGTTCTTAGTATTAAACAAAAGTTGTTTCGTTTGTTCGAAGAATACTCTAAGACCAACACTGGTATTACTGCTGCACCAATGGAGTGTACTTTTAATGGTGATAATGGACAAACTAGAGATCTCATGGATGTGAGTAAAATTGATTCTTATGTTTTTGTATTTTGTTTCAATTTATATAACCTTAAACGTTCAATATTTATGATATTTGCAGGGGTTTGATGTGTACCAATCTCAACAAAAGGCAAGTGGTAACAAATCTGAGTTGGAGTTGTATCTTGAGGAGTGACTAGTCGATCGTAAGCAACAACCAGATTTGAATGTTTTGACTTATTGGAAGGAGAGTAGAATTAGATATCCTGAACTTTCACTTATGGCTCGAGATATCTTAAGTATTCCTATTACCACTGTCGCGTCCGAGTCTGCTTTTAGTCATGGTGGGAGAATTCTTGGAAAATTTTGAACTTCTATGTTGCCGGATAATGTGGAGGCACTACTGTGTTCTCGAGATTGGTTGTATAATAGTGAAGGTAAATTAGATATTTAGTTGCATTGACTGTTAATTTTCAGTAGCTTAGGATCTCTTTAATTATTTTTTTGCATTGGTTGATTAAATCTGCTAAATTTTAGAGAGTCTTGATAAAGATTTTGAAGTTGAACAAGAAGACGAGGAGCAAGATCTTGGAATTGATATTAGTAGATTAAGTGCTGAACAAGATGCATCTTCAAATGTTGATACTTAGTAAGTATATCATGTGAACTCGATATTTTAGAATACTTGTTATTGCTTTCTACTGTTATTTTAGTTAGAGTTGTGATTTGTGCTCCTGGTGTATAATGGGTATGGTCATGGAATGTCATGATTTTTCAAGTTTCACTTTTGTTGTCGTAGAATACTTCTTTGTCTTGCCACCAGGTTTGGGTATTATCACTAGTGATTCACTACAAAAGCTGATTCAGAGTGCATGTCTTTTTCCGAGCAATATGTCAGCTTTATTGGCATTTTTTACCTCTGTGATGTTGATTCTTTGACCTGCCAAAAGCATTATTAGTGAAACATGATACAATGATCTAAGATTGGTATTAGCAACTAATTTGACTTTCATAATAGCATGATCTTTGGCTCCACTATGAACTGCTGACTGCGAAGTCTTAAGAATGTGCTACCCTCTGTGGAGTGCCTAGTTGGTTTGGAAGATTGATTTAGGATAATTTGTTGTTTTCACTTGTACGCATTTGAAGTGTTCTCAAGTGGATATCTGCATATGATTGCTATGTTTTCTAGTTACACGGAAAGTGGTAACATGAGTTCCATGTATTTATTTAGAATGTGGTTGTCTTTAGTGTGTCCAATTCTTCCGTTGCTTCTGCTTATTTGTTGGTTGATAATACTTGCCATCTTATTTTTGCTGCAGATGTTCCAGTATATGTCCATTTGTTATATCACTGGGTTTGAATGCTGCCCAAGTTCCATAAAGCAAATTAGTTTCAGCTTTGAATTCTAGCATTTTTGGGGTGTTCAGTAGTTATTTATCTTTCCTCAATGAGTTGTTGAAGGATTAAAATGTGCTTTATTGGTGACTAGTTGATGGTTGTGTTGTCATTGGACCTGTTCTAATGTTGCGTTAATTTTTTGAAGAATTTTCAAATGAATTGGATAGTGATATTTGAACTAATTGGTTGAGAATTGTATCTCTCTTATCAAGTTTCAATTTAATTGAGTGATTGGATCTTGTTTAATATTGGTATAACATTTTTTCATGCTATATTCAATTTGGACCAAAATTGTTTTAGTGTGTGAAAAAAAAAATTTATATGCAAAAATATATTTAAGAGAATTTATGTATCAAAATCTATTAATTAATATATTGGGTCATATTTGGGTCATGGGTTTGAGATGACCCAATATGACCCAACCCAAAAGTAACCCAATTTAAAGTTGGGCGGGTTGGGTATAACCCATTTAAATAAAAATCCAATATCAACCCGCCCAAAACCGCCCAACCCGCCCAATTGCCAGGTCTATGTCAACCCTTCCAAAACAATCACAGATACGTGAGAAAAGGTCGTTTTTAGCTACAAGCGGTTATTGCTTTTGGTAGTTTAGTTGGTAAATTTTGTAGCATTCATCTTACATGGAACAAAAATCAATCAAAATTCTATCTTACATCGTTGAATTTGGCAAATCCAAATTCTATCTTGATTTATTATTAAGACGTGATTAAAAAAGGGTTGGATTGGATGATAAGATAAAAGGAAGTAAGAGTTTTTGGGTTCAAGTCCTCTTAATCATTACTATATAAAAAGTATGATGAGTTTTGGCAATAGGAAATATAAGTGCAAGTATATTTTGGTCTTAGTTTTTATTATGCCTAAATTACCCTCATGTTTTTTATCTAGGGTTATTGCATTTCAATAATGGCACTAACAAGAAAAATGATAAGTTTCTATAAATTACATCTCAAAAATATTGGTAATTAAAATTAAAACTATCCATTTAAAACTATATTCACCAATTATTTTCGTTATCACCATTAATTTTGTGTTAAAATTATCTCCAATTATTATATTATATGTGTGATAATTAAACCTAACTATATTTTATATACAAATTGGTTTAGAAGAAAATCATGATTAATAAGACGACAAAAGGTGATAAACAATTAATGAGAAAATAAAAGATCAAATTCACTATATTATATCATATTGACTAAGAAAGCTTCAGAAAAAATATGGATAATTATAAAAAATATAATAGAAAAGGTTTACAACTACTTAAATTGATAAAATTTTGTTGTATCCAAATCATAAATGTTTGATTATGCATTTTCTCAGGTTTTGTTGTATATACTAATTTGACAAAAAATAGAAAATTTCCTCTCCTTATTGTCATAATCCAAGTAAAATATTTAACAACTTAGTTTAGATATGATAGTCTTCTATCTTGAGAGTTTAATAAACTTTTTAATTGCTTCGTGTATAATAAACGTTTTCTATAAGTAGCAATTGCTTGATTTAGTTCGTTATATGGTTTCTTAGTCAATACTAACAACTTAGTTTAATATGATAATCTTCCATCTTCAGAGTTTTTATAATTGCAGAATGCAAAATAAACTTTTAATTGTTTTGTACACAATAAACATTTTATACAATTACCAATTGTTTAATTTTGTTCATTATATAGTTTTTTAGTTTATATTATGCCAATAATCAAAGTTTTGCAAAGAAATTTAATATATTTAAAATTTTATATCTTGAAAAACGATATTCACGTTCAACGCATGTGAGTTATTACCAATTAAAAAAAAGACCGTGTATGCTCCAAGTGTACCGTAAGATTACAAAAAACCAATACGCTAATTACATCAGTCACATCAAATAAAGCGCTTAAAGTGAAAATCACTAAAAAGGGGGAAAAAAAAAAGGAGATCATAATTCATAGCTGTCCAGATGTCTAAGCCAATTGACCGGAGTTTGAGGAGAAAAGGAATACAATGCTCACTAAATTCAGCAATGCACAATCTTTTGCTTCTTCAACTGTCATCTTCTTCCACACTAACAGCAGAATCCTTGCTTGTGATGCATATTTTAAAACCATTATGCTTTGTTGTGCAGATCTCATCTTCTCCCTGATTTCTCTTCAATGATAACCAGCCAGCCTTTGCTTTATTTCTCCAGTCTGAGGTTACAACTGCAATACCCAGTTTCTCTCGTCTTGTTTGCTCTTGAGTAGCAATCTAGAATTCTAGATGAGAGTATCCCTTTCCGCACATTGAGAGCTCTGATGACCCATCTGCTATATCACTTCATTCATTTTCTCCTTCAAGTTGCCTTTGCGAACAACCACATTCCTTCCATCCGTTCTTTCCAAGCTTTGCCTGTAACAACATGAATCATTTTCATTTTCATGTTACATGATAACCCTGCTGATGTTGAGAAAATGAAAAACAAAATGGGCAATAATTATTTGATTATTCATAAACTTCATTGTACTCATGCATGCATTACCTGCAACCGAAAGTTGAATAAACTTCAAAACAAAAAAGCAACAGAAGGGGTAGTAATTAATGGATTGACTTCGTTCGTATGGAAGGCATGATTATTTCTGCAAAGCGATTGAGAATGACAACAAAAGTTACCTCATCTTGGACCAGCTGATGCCCTTCACTGTCTTTACCAGGCTTGACAGTCGACGAGGATCTTCAGATTCTGATTTCCATAGTTTTCCTGTGCTTCTTCAATGCCTCGTACTAAACTTATAACAGATCCGACATAGTCACTCTTCCCGCAAATGTACACCTTAATCATTTCAAGAGTTGATATACGCTCTAAGCAAGAAGGTACCCGTTCCAACTTCAACTCTCCAACCAGTTTTAACTCCTCAAGACAAGGAAAATAATCATCACTATCAGTGTCTGTCTCTGTCCACTCCACAACATTCACATCGGACAAAGTCAAGACCCTAAGCTTAGGAAATCCTCCTTCGGTCAGCTCCCATCTTCTGCCGCGCAATGAATCACAAAGTAATTTCAGGACCTCTAGATTGGGTAGCTGTTCAATCAATGAAATTTTACTCCAGGGTAGGTTCAATCCAGAAAGGAGCAACTTTTTTAAATTCTTGGGGAAAGAGAGCTCAAAATGATTTCTTGGACCTTGGAAGTGACTCGAGACTATGTTCAGTGACTCTAGGGTATCTAACTGACTCATGTTGCAGCATACCTCCTCTCCTACGTCTGCGGTCACAATTTTCAGTTGGCGGATATTCGGAATCCTTCTCAGCATGGCTTCTCCTTCTTGATTAAAAGGAAGTCTCAGATAGCAAAGCGTGTCTAAACCAGGTAAAGTGGAGGAGTTTTCAAGGACATTATCACTGGGCAAAACACGAGCACCAAGACGACCCCCAACACGCACATGCCTTAGCTTCTTCATATCCCATATGGTATAGGGCAATGAAACTTCCACCAAAGATTGCAGATAAAAAGTTTCCAAGGACGAGAGATTGGATATAGATAGTGGAACGAACCGCAAGGCATCAGCTCTAAGGGCCAAATACCTCAAGCGACAGAGCGATTCGACTTCAGTCGGAAGCTCTTTATGTATCAGGACAACATGCTCTAAATTCAAAACTGTGAGATGCTTGTAGATGCAAAAAAGGAATGAGACATCAGCAAGTGGAAAATCGTCTCCTGCATTCTGACGAAAGAATAGCAGACTCCCCAGTTGGGGACAAAAGAGCTTCGACTTGTGAAAATCTTCTGCACTGGAGCAAATGGACAATCGAGGTGGGTAGCGAGGCTCATTAAAAGTATAAAGCTCATCATATCCTCGTAACACCCGAAGAAAATCCGTCTCTTTGGCTTTGGACTTGCAAAACTCAAGTAACAAATCATGAATACAAGAAGCTTTGACCCCTCCCATCGAGCTGCGTTCGCTTACCATAACTAAGTTTCGACCAATAAGGTCCATCATATATTCTTCTGCCACGTCCTCTAACTTCTTTCCGTCAGTATTCTCCACAAACCCTTCAGCAACCCATAGACGTATCAAATTCCTGGTAACAATCTTTGCATCTTCTCCAAATGCTGCAAAATAAAGAAGGCATGGCTTCAAATGATGTGGTAAATTTTCATAACTGAGCTCTAATGACTTCTTGCACGTTTCTGTGAGAGAGACCACGGTGGAAGTTAAACTTTTAGCAAATTCTTCCCAAGCCGAAACATCATGCTCTAGGTCTAGAGTTGCTACAATTCCAGCTACGGCAACAATTGCAAGAGGTAATCCCTTGCAGAATTTTGCTATTTCCACACTGGGTCCATGTAGCGATTGAGGACAATCTTCTTCTCCAAACACCTTCTTCTGTAATAATTGCAAACTCTCTATATCAGTGAGCAAGCGAAGATCGAGAGGTTCCCCACCACATTCAACCTGTGAAGCAACATTAGAAAATCGACTCGTGATGAGGATTCTACTACTTCTCATCTCATCTGGGAATGAACATCTCACGTCATTCCATATGCTGAAGTCCCAGACATCATCAAAGACAACGAGATACCTCTTCCCCTTCAACTTCTGATATAGCTTATGAAGCAAATCATGTTCATCCAGAATTTCGAGCTCTTCATTGATCCCAGGACGTTTGCCATCAGAGCACAAAATTTGAAGTAACAAATCTTTCATGTTATATACTTGAGAAATAGTACACCAAAGACGAATGTGGAAACTATAGATAATTGAGTTATCATTGTAAACTCTTTTGGCTAAAGTTGTCTTACCAAGTCCAGCCATTCCCACAATGGGGACAATTTCCAACTGTTCTGGTCCTCCAATAAGTCGATCGCTCACTTTCTTTGCCTCATCATCATGACCAACCGTGACTTCATGGGTCATTGGTACTTGAAGGGCTGGTAACATTTTTGATAGCTTATAGCTGAAAGGCTTGTAACATTTTTGTATCTTGAAGCTACGACAGGAAGCAAGACATCCTCTGCTTGAGACACTGGCCAGATCCCGAAGGGCTTGTGACTTCATGGCTTTTGATAGCTTATAGCTGAAAGGCTTGTAACATTTTTGTATCTTGAAGCTATGACAGGGAGCAAGACATCCTCTGCTTGAGACACTGGCCAAATCTGTAATATGCTTGATACGCTTATTGATATTAACCAGCATGTGAGAACAATGACGAGCTTTTTTGGTGTCTAAGGAGTTAACATCTCCTCCTTTTACTCTGCTCAGAGCAAGCGTGCAGATTATGATGCCTGCTTCACGAAGCAGAGCTCCAATTCTTTCATTTAGCTCTTTCTTCTCCTCCTTAGGCTTTCTTAAAATGCATCTCAAGAATCTCCATCCCCCTCCAATTTTTTCATTTAGCTCATTCTTCTTCTCCATAGGCATCCTTAAAATGCTTCTCAAGAATCTCAGCTCTGAAAAGAGTATTTCCAATTCATCTTTCCGAAAATCCATAAAGTTGGAATTGCAGCATAGAAGCTTCCAGATAAAACTTATGAGAGAATCATTGAAGTTGTTCAATATATGCTCATCCATCTTCATAGTACGTGATGATGCTGAGGAATTTGAAGCTTTAAGGATGTCGATGTAAATCTCACCCCCTTGAAGATCAACAGGCTTGATCTCCTCAATTTGTTTACAGATCATGGAGCAGAACTTACCAATGTATTCTGACTCAATTTCGTCATGGAAGGGACACTTTTCTACATCTTTGCAAACAAATGAATGCCCTTCACCAACTTCATCAAGAAAGGAACACATGTAAGAGAGGCTTGCTGCTTTCAAAGCTATTGCTACAATGTGATCTAGCCAGCGGATGAAGTCGTGGTGATTAGATCCTCCCAATTTGGCAAAGCATACGAAACTTTTTAAGAATGTTAACTTTTCTTCAAGGTCCTGGATTTGAGCACGCAAAGCAGCACAATAAGACTTTTTTCGAACTAGATGCAGATCCACCAGATTTTGTAGAACGAGGTCTATGAATTCCACAATCTCGTAGAACGTGGCAAAAGACCATCCGAATGAGATGCTCTGCTCATACGCACGCACGATTCCTTCATGAGAACCTCCGATCCGTCTTTTAAAGTCAAAGACCAATTGATCGCTCACACCTATCAGATTTGAGAAACTTTCACTTTCTGATCTCACTGACAGAATGTGAATGTCCTCTCCAAATTTCTTAACTGTATCATCAGTGTTAGGAAGTAATCGATCATACTTCTGTCTACATGATATCTCAGATTTGATAAATGTTTTGAGGAACTTCATCCTCCTGATGGTGTCTGAAAAGATGGGATTATACGAATTGCTTTTGTTGAGGTTCTTCTGGAGGATATCCAGATCTCGTAAAACACGATCAATGTAACCGTCCATAATCTCTTCTGCAAGGATCTTCCCGAATTTGACTCCTGAATGTTATTGTATTGCAGCTAAGGCAGAGACAAACTTCCTCACCCTGTTCAAAGCTGTAAAACAGTGAAGAAGATAACTGAGATAACAATCATTCAACAAAAAAAAGCAGAGCAAGAAAGAAAGGAACAAGATCATTCAGATCATGTTTATATAGTTTGAAATTGGCGTTACTGAACTTGACTGTTGAATATTATTGCAGCTAAGGCAGAGACAAACTTCCTTGCCTTGTCCAGAGCTAACAAGAACTCCCTTCTTGAAAAAAAAAAATTTTTTTTTGAAGAAAACTGAGATAACAATCATTGAATTAAAAAAAAAAAAAAAAAGCAGTGCAAGACAGAAAAGAACAAGATCATTCAGATCATATTTGTATAGTTTGAAATTGGCTTTACTGAATTTGGCCCTTCAAGATTATTGCAGCTAAGGTAGGGACAGACCTTCTCACCTTGTCCAGAGCTAACAAGAAAGAAGAGAACAAAGGTCATTCAGATCACATTTGTCTAGACAGCAATTTTCCAAAGAAAAATTGTTTTTTTTTTTCCGCGAACACATTTTTCAATCACCTTTTTATCTCATATATATCAAATCGTTATAGTAATTTTTTTAAAAAAAAATCAGAAAAATGCAATCCAAACCAGGATTGACTTGAACGTCAATGCTGATGCTTCTTTCTTGTCTTCCTTTTTAGCTTTTTTGGGCCAAAGTATGATCACGCGGTTTAGAAAGTAGGGAAAATGCAGAGAATCCAGAGATTCAGCCAATATTGTCAAGGGAGCAAAATATTTTCTTTTCATCAGGAAAGACTTTCACTCATGAAAATATAAATCAGTTTTGCAATTTGGTCTATTTTCAGGGTTATAGAGATAAAAGCTATAAAAAAAAAAAAAAAAATTAAGCTACCAAAGCAACGAAAAGAAGAGATATTTTTTATTATGATTATTGGGAGCTTGGACATAAATAAAGTAAGTTAGACAATATAATTTAAATGTTTCTTCCCCGGTTCTTGTTCAGTTGTTTGGGCACATGTTCTTTGCATTCGAATAAATTTTAGTTGCTCTCCAATTTTGTTCATTTGCCTTTTTTTTTTTTTTTTTTGGTGCGTGTGTGTCTTTGTTTTGGGAAAGTTGAGAATATCCGAAATTTGAGCAAATTAAAGGATGGGAAATTGGATACTAATTCCCAACATTAAATAGCAAAATGTCCAAGTTTTTATGCAAAATGTACAAGAGGTTCTGCAAACATGCAAAACTGATTTGAATTCTGTAATCTAGAAATTAAGAATCTATTCCTCGTTCTGATATGGGAATTCTACTCTCAGTCTATTCTCCTTCTTCGGATTCTTGCTTCTCCCATCTCCATCCCCTTAAAAAAAAAAAAAAAAAAAAAAATTATCTTGACATAAGATTAATTAGAAATTGTGGGGTATCAATTAACTCAAATACTGGATTAGTCTGGAAACCCCAATCTGCTAATGAGCTGTAATCACTAACAATAATGTTAGACTTCTATAGACTCAGTAAGCTGCATCAAGTTTAGCACTTAAAAGTGGTACGCAAGCAACTCTTTGTTTCTTTCAACAATCCCTTCTTCTATATTTCTTATTACAAATCTTTATTTGTATTTTATATTTCTTATTTCCTTTCCTGTTTAATATTTGAAAAAGATTATAAGATCTTTTAAGATTTAGTAGGTCAAAGTCTTTAAATCATCCTTTCTTTTCCCAAAGGAAAAAGAAAAAGATAAAGAAAAGAAAAAAAAAAAAGCAGTAAAAAGGTGATTTAATCAATTTATTAGTTTGATTTTGATTTTTTTAATATTGACAGCAGATCAAAAAATTAACAGTGACACTGCTATAATAATTCAAATTATGAGAGAGTTGTGTATAAATTTTTAAAGCATACAGGAATCATGTGTGATATAGTATCAAATCACAGGAGATCAAAGGTGATTTACCCTATATATACATCAATAGGGCAAATTGACTATAGATTGACAGAAGAAAAGGCACACAACAATCACTAAATTGAGCAACACAAAATACAGATGGAAAATTTTGCTTCTTCAATACACTAACACTTCTTCCATGCCAACAGCCAAAAATATTTACTCATAGGAACATTTTTAAACATTTGTATGCTGTTTTTGCAGAGGGCAGAACGGGTGACTTGACTCCAAGGTGGACTGAGTAGAGAGCTCCCTTGATTGTTCCGACCTTCTTGAAAAGGAAAGAGTCACCACCCTTCCGGCTTTTACCTCCATCATCCACTCTAAGCAACAAAAGAAATGCAGGCCACATTTACGCGCAAGAAAACCCTATCAGAATAGCAATGCAACACCATTCAAAAAGATGAGCAATTATCATCTCAAACCACCAAAACCAGTAGCAACCTCAGCTTGGAAAAAAAAGTAGTTGTTTATTCACAAATTTCAATGTACTCATGCATGCATTTCCGGCAACTGAAAAAAGTACGAGTCTAGAAAGCAAGAGATGGATTAAAATCACACGGAAAATGCAGGATTAATGTTTCTGCAAGCTTATTAAGAAGATGGAGAAAAGTTACCTCTTAAGTCATGTATATCCCTCCAGCTGATGACCTTCAATATCTTGGCAGGACATAACGGATGAGGATCTTCAGATTCTCAATTCCGTTGTTAATCTGCTCTTTTTCAATTCCCCGAACTAAATTGACAACTGAGTAGTTGTCAACAGCGTTGTCGTAGTTGCTCTCCTCCCCCCAAAAGCGCACCTTGACCATTTTAAGGGTGGATAAACTCCCTAAGCAAGAAGGGACCTTTTCCAATCTTAAATTTCCTTCCAGGTTTAACCGCTCAAGACATGGAAAATGATCATCACTGTCAGGGTCTGCCTCTGTCCACATCACAACGTCTACTTGGGACAATGTTAAGACCTTAAGTTTTGGGAATCCTCCTTCGGCCAGCTCCCATGTATCTCCCCGGAATGAACAAACGAGTAGTTTGAGGACCTCAAGATTGGGAAGTTGTTCAATCAATGAAATTTTACTCCAGGGCAGTCCCAATTCACTAAGGGACAATTTTTTGAGAGCTGAGGGAAAAAAATACTCGATATTATGATCCCCTGGAACCATGAAACCACCCATCACTGTGAGTGATTCTAGACTTTCCAGTTGACTCAAGTTGCAGCTGCCAGTAGCTTCCCATGCTCCTTCATTATCTGAGACCAAAATTTTCAGTCGGCGGACGTGCGGAATCTTCCTAATAATGTTTTCTCCTGCTTGACTTAAAGGAAGAATCAGAGTGGAAAGAAAGTCTAAATTAGGTAAAGTGGAGGAGCTTTTAAGGACGTCGTCATTCAGCAGGGGACGAGCACAAATCCATACGCAAAGAACCCTCAACTTTTTCATGTTCCAGATAGTATCTGGCAATGAAACGGTTTCATGAGATTTGAGACGAAAAGTTTCCAAATTTGAGAGGTTGGCTATAGATTGTGGAATGAACTCCATGCTGTTAGATCTGAGGGCCAAGTACCTCAATTCAAGAAGTGATTCAACTCCACTTGGAAACTCCTTTTGCATCAGGGCAATATGCTCCAAATTCAATACTATAAGATGTTTATAAATGCAAAAAAGGAAGGAGCTATCAACCAATGGAAAATCCTCTGCTGCAGTCTGATAAAAGAATAGGAGACTCCTTGAACGTGGACAAAACAGCCTGGAATTTGAAAAATCTTCGCCAGTGGTGCAAATGGACACCCGAGTTATGTCCGCAGGCTCATTAAAAGTTGAGAGCTCGCCGTATCCTCGAAATGCATGAAGAAAATTCTCTTCTTTCGCTCTGGCCTTACAAAACTCAAGTAATAAATCATGAAGACAACAAGATTTCACTCCACCAATGGATCTACATTCGCTTACCGTGACTAAGTTTCGGCCGATAAGGCTCATCAGGTACTCCCCTGCAACGTCCTCCATTCTCCTGCCTTGGATTCTTTCCACAAGCCCTTCTGCAATCCATAGGCACACCAAATTCTTAGTGCCTATTTTCTCTGCTTCTCGAAATGCTGCAAAGTAAAGAAAACAAGCCTTCAAACGAGGAGGCAAATTTTCATAACTGAGCTCCAGTGACGCCTTGCATGGGTCTGTGCCACACACCATGGTCAAAGTTATTCTTCTTGCAAATTCTTCCCAAATCCAACTGTCACGTTCTAAAGTTGCTAGAAATCCAGCTATGATAACAACTGTTAGAGGTAATCCCCCGCAGAATCTTGCTATTTCTATACCAGCTCCGTGTACTGATTGAGGACATTCTTCTTCTCCAAACACCTTCTTCTGCAATAACTGCCAACTTTGTTCCTCAGTGAGCAAGCGAAGATAGTGAGGTTCACCCAGGTTAACACGTGCAGTAATGTTAGAAAATCGACTTGTGATGAGAATTTTACTTCCCTTTGGAGCATCCTGGAAGGCAAGATTCAAGTCATTCCATAGCCCGCTGTCCCAAACATCATCAAGTACAAGGAGATACTTTTTTCCCTTCAACATTTGATAGAGCATTGTAAGCAAGTCATGCTCATCCTTCTCTCGGAGCTGTTCTTGAGTGTATTCACTGTTACAACACAAAAGCTCAAGTAGCAATCTTTTTTGGTTGTATTCGTGCGAAACAGTACACCAAAGACGAAGGTGAAAGTGGCCCTCAATTTCAGCATCACCATATACTTTTTTGGCTAAAGTCGTCTTACCCAATCCAGGCATTCCCACAATTGGAACAATTTCCAACTGGCTTGATTCACTGGTAATAAGTCGACCAATTATTGTTTGTGCCTCATCATCAAAACCAATCACAACTTCATGAACTTCTGGTATCCTAGGACTAGGAGGAAGCAGGCGCATACCTGTAAGTCGAGAATTATAACGAGTTACAACTTTAAAACACATGATATAACAACAAAACCAATGATAAAATTTCTAATGCAATCTATTTGTTTTATATCCATTTCTAGTGTATTAGTAAGACTTCACTTACTTTACTCGAGATTGTACCATCCCAAAACATTTCTTTCCGTCAAATTTTGTTGTCAACATCATGTTTGTGTATTTCTTTTCCTTGGTTAAACCTGGGAAGCACGGGAATTGATCCTAAAACTAGGGTTACCTGTGTCTATTTTCGGTACTTAGTATTTGTAATTAGTAGAGCTGTTTAAATGTATATAGGTTTCTTTGTAAAACGAATGCACAAGTTCATTGCTTGATCAACGAAATTCGCAAGTTTGTGAAAAAAAATCATGTTAGTGTATTTGCATTCTTTTACTTGCTTTAAACAATTATTTTTGAAACACGCAGTTTAAAGATTTAAAATAGTATATAATATCACGGTGATTTTTACGACACATGTACAAAATTTAGATTTCAATTTCAGATTCAAATTAGTTATCATACATTAAATGATGATAATGTATGAATTGCCAGTGTATATGAGATTAATCCTTATTAAAAGTTATAAAATCTAAGTTTTTTTTGTCTAATTTTTTTTTTCTCAAAACTATGAGGATATTTATATTCGACTCCAGCACATGTATTGATAGTATAATGTCTTATGAAATCCATTCTATATGCATAATATATCATTACATTTGTAACATGCAAAACAACATTGTGTAACAGGAAAGATAGACGTACTTATAGGTCGAACGTGGAGGCCGCAAACAACATTTAATCATTCTACCATATCTAGACTCATTATACTTACTGTCGAGAAGTTTACTTATTCTTCCTACATAGATTTTTTTAGATAACTTTCACCAGTTTAAAGTTGAAATCTGTATATTTTTTTTTTAAGGATTTCAATTAAACTTGCAAGGTCATGAGAAGCCCTTTGTAACTCGATCTATATGTTTTATATCCATTTCAATTATATATTTATTGTCCTATAATTACTAATCTTTCCTTCATTGATTTTTGTTAGCTAACTTTCACCAGTTTACTATAGACATTTTTAATCTTCTTTTTTTCCCATTGGCTCAAAATAAAGAGAGCAACCAGCCTTGAAGAAATCGTCGTGATCTCTCTGATGATGGCCTCATTTTATTCGTGGATCTCCTTTAAACGTAAGCTTTTGTGTCAAATTCAAATTTTATGCAAACATCAAAGCGCTTTAAGCATTAAATCTCCGTGCTAGCAAAAATAAGTAGAAATTTATGTTCTTGTGCTAGCATAAACTAATAGAGGTTTTTCCCCCCTTTCTGGGTCTACATTTCATTTACAAAAGGGTTAAAAACAAAAAAGCTCCATGTGATATACTTAATACACAGAAAAGTCTCACGTGGTTTCAAAACATACAAAACGACACCTCATGTTTTGAATTAAATTGTAAACTAACAGAATTCGTTAAACTTAACGGAATCCGATAAATTTAACGGAAAACTTAACAGAATCCGGTAAATTTAATGAAATCTAGTAAGTTTAACAGTTGAGATCGTCATTTTCGTTAAGTTTAACGAATTCTGTTAGTTTCCAATTTAGTTCAAAATATGAGGTGTCGCTTTATATGTTTTGAAACTATAGGGGACTTTTCTGTGTATTAGATATATCACAGGGGCTTTTTTGTTTTTAACCCTTTACAAAAATACCTCAATAAAACTAGCTTGTAGAAGGTTTAAGACCTGGTCTCGCTCTAACAAAGAGAACCTAACCTACATGCTACTCATCCTATACAATAAGTATAGCTTATCTATATTCTTATCAAAAGAGGACTCTTTATCTGATACTGATACCATGCCAAACATTTACCTTGTTGTTGGACCATTAATTTCTTGAAGCAATCAAGATGAGTCGTGGTTGAGGAATCAATGGTACACATGATAGAGCGACTTGATAGTTTCTCAACTAATATAAACTTGTTTCCAGATATGACTATTGGCCGCTGGAATTAGTTTACTCAGTCAAAAGACAGCTAAGAAATAGAAAATTTTTTTTGGAAAACATTTTTGTTTATCGCAGAAATTATTCTAGAGATTGTCGCCACTTAATATAGTTGAGAGAGAGAGAGAGAGAGACATTATAAATTATATATAGACAGATGGAGATGTAGATTACCTGTTGATGACATAGGACTACTGAAAGAGTTGCAAACTTCTTGCCCTGCCAAGCAATTATCAGAAGGAAGACTCGTTGTCATGCTCCATCTGCCAGTCTCGTCCCTAATACGCTTGATTTTTTTGTTGGTATCACCCAACATAATGTAGCCATCAAGAGGATAAGGAATTTGTTCCACTTCGCTGGCAAAAAGGGCGCAGATTATAATTCCTGCACAACTCATCACATCTCCGATGTTTGGATTGAGCTCATCCAGGACATTCTCCGGCAGCTCCCTTAGAATGCTTCTCAAGAATCTGAGTCCCTCGTACAGTATTTGCATTTGACGTTTCACAGGACCCATCAAGCTTGTACTGCTCCACAGCGGCTCCCAGAGGCGATTTATGAGGGAATCATTGAAGTCGCCCATTGTATGCTTACCCATCTCCATGGAACGTAACCGTGCTGATGTTCTTGAAGCACTAAGGACTTTGATATACATCTCAAGGAGTCTAGAGTTAACTATAACAGGTTTGATGACCCGGAGGAGTCTACCAATTTTGGAGCAGCAATCAGTGACTCGTATTCCCTCATTACCTTCATTGTAAAATGAACACTCGTAAGAGATCAATGTTGCATGGAGAGCCCCATATTCAAGGCGATTCGATAGAGCATCCAATAGACCAAGTTCAACGCTTCCCAATTTGGCAAAGCCAATGAGATTTTTCAAGAATATTAGCTCGTCTTGGAGGGCCTCGATTTGTGCATGCAAACGGAATTTGGGCTCGGTAGGGTTCGCGTTGAACAATAAAGAACGACGAAGACCCGCAAGATCCTGTCGAAGGTACTTTATGAATTCCACAAGCTCCTCGTCTCTCAAGCAAGAACATCTGGACTGAGATGAGCAGCGGTTCAACAAAGCCCTGTATGTCTGTAGGATTCTAGGCTTAAAAGACATGATCCTTGCTCGAAAACCAAACACCACAGGTTCCCAAGCTGATATATGTTCACCTCGTCCTGATCGATCCAGAAAAGAGAAAATGTCTATGTCCTGATCTACGTATTCACTTTGTGGTCGAAGGCAAAGAGAGTGAATATCATCCTGGTATGTCTTGAGGGTGCATCCAATGGTAGACAAGAAAGATTGAAGACTCTCCCCATTAAGTTCCAGATCCAGGTCCACAATGTTGATGCTCCACTTTCTTGCACCCCAAAGAAATGTTCTGAGACATGCTAAGTTCAGTTTGAGGGTCGTAAAAGCTGAGAGCTTGTTTTCACCGAGTATATAAGCCAAATCGTATCTGAGGTTTTTCTCCAGCAACTGAAGCTCATGGACGACGGATTCTATACAAGCAGTGGCCAACTCCATCACTCTCAGAACACCAGTGCTGCTGCAGATACTATTTTGTGTAATAAGCAGAAGGGCTGATTCTAAATTTTTTTTTCTTAATTTGTATTGTTTTGGAAAAATGTAAAGCAGAGAGAGATATTTATCAAACAAAACAGAAGGGGAAATAAAAGAAAGACATGACAGTATAGACAATGCCGGAGTATTCTGCAATTGGCAATACTGAATCTGCAAAGCTTATGTAGTGTAAAGAATTTGTAGCAATTTATAGACTAATAGTAGTAGTACTAGGGTTAGGACACGATCCAGAAATTCAACCTCCTCTTATTTGGATGTCATTTTTGCTCTCCAAGGGCCCTGACTGATATCCAACAAGTCAACATTCAGCTCCCCATGCCCCAACGTTATTTTCAGCTCAAGATCCACGAAATGATGCAGAGATAAGTTCCAACATCCAAGTCAACGTTCAGGTCCCCATGCCCCAACGTTATTTTCAGCTCAAAGAGCCACGAAATGATGCAGAGATCGATTAAGTTTATCCAAGCCACTAGACCTACCACTTATTTAGAGTCATGACCTGCCTTTTTCCAAGAAACTAGTTGGCTAAGAAACTATGGGAAATATCCAAGAAACTAGTTTATCAATAATGTTGGGACTACTCAAGAATCAAGAGTCTTTTAGGGGTCCGTCTATTTTAAATTGCAACAAGCAACCCTGAGAGAGACCCTCCACCTACACTGACATAATTAACAAGATGCTACTAATGTAGATAGACTAGTACTACTGGCAAACCAACTTCAGAAACTAGCCAAAAACTTACCAATGAATCTGTAGTTGTCACATTTGCTGTCTAAGGGCAAGACTTAGTCAACCTTCTACTCCAACAATCTTATCTTGAGTTCAAGTCAAGAGATAAAAAAAAAATGCAGAAAGAAGTTCAGGAGCTATAAAATAATTGTAGAGGGAAGTTCATCCAAGTTGCTTAGTTAATTAGACCTCCTATTGTCCAAGTGAAACAGAAAAACTGAGAAAATGTCAACAATGCTCAAAATTGGGAATTGTGAGTTTCTTGAGATTAGAGTTCAAAGTCCAGACAATAGAGGTTGATTACAGCAACCAAATCGACATCAAGAAATAAATTCAGCAGCAAGTTTAGAGTCCATTTAGTCATATTTGCTCTCCCTTAGTGCTTTCTGACTTGAGGACGTGCTTTTCCAAAAAATATATATATATATTTTTTAAAGGAGGATGATTTTGCTTTTCGATTCTGCAAGTCTTGGAAAATTGACAAATTTGCATCATTGTTCCACCAGATTAATTCCCTTTGCATGACACTAAGATAGAAGGACGCAAGTTTTTACGCAAAAAAAAAAAAAAATGCACAAGAGGTTCTGCAAACATGCAAAAACTGATTTGAATTGTGCAATATAGAAGTTAAGAATTCATCCCTTGTTCAATTGTGGGAATTCGATTATGATTCTATTCTGAAGGAAATTAAACCAAGCTATTTTAGTATTTAGTTTCCTAATTCTTTTTGTTATCTTATTTGTTTAGTTTCCATATTAGATTAGAAAATCTCAAATTAGTTTCCAAATAAGTTTTGGTGTACAATTATATTTGTTTTAGGAAGTTTTAGAATCTATAAATACTACCAGTCTAGTAGGTTATTAATTGAAGAGAAGAGTGAAAAATTGAGAGCCTTATTCTTATGATATGATTAATATATTATTAGTGATATTGTTTCTCTTCTCCCACATATATATTTATGTGTGTAAATTGCCTCTTCTCATATTGATTTTGTCAAATATATCTGCCATATATTTCCTTTGAATTCTATATCTGGTATTAGAGCCCTAGGTTCCAGAAGTTGATCCTGGGGTGCCTGTAGACATTAAAGAATTGACCCGATTATAACAGTTGGGTGTTTTTCGCTGTCAGAGTTGGAGTATAAAAATTGCTGCGAAAAAATTAGTTGATCAAGTTAGACCAAAAGGTTGGTCATGGAGTGTTAGGATTGGACCACAAGATTGGTTCGAGAATTGTCAGATTGATTGCGGATGTTACAACAGAGATTAGAGAAGAATCCGGTCAGTTGAATTGTGGTTATGAATATCACAAAATGAATTGTCAATAAGTTGGCATCAAATTGGGCTATGAAAACAGTCTATCCAAAAGCGTGGATTATTTTCGCAAGTGAAAATACGGTGAGTGACGAAATAAATTTGTCCAGGTGCGTGGAATATTGTAGCAGCAAAAATCAAAGGAGATTATTGATCGTGATGGTAGTGAACCTAATTCAGGAGAAAGCTTGATTTAAGGGAGGCAATGTTGGCATATTAAATCAAGGTTCAAAATTAGAAATTTTCATATTATTATTTAGTAGTGTTTTAGTCAATTTAGGGTTTTAGTAATTCTATTAGAGTCAAGTTATGATAGTTTTATTGTCTACGAATTAGTATCTTATTAGGAAATTTATTGTGGTGTAAAACTTGTTTATCTAGTAAGGGGTTATATTATTGTGTTTAGTTGAGAAGAGTGAATGAATGAGAGCCTTGTTCTTATGATGTGATTAATAGATTGTTATTGGTATTATTCCTCTTCTCCCACACATATTATTATGTGTATAAATTGCCTCTCCATATATATTCCGTTTGTCAAATATATCTCCCATAATTTTTATTTTTTGGTTCTACATATTCTCCCTTTTCGGGTTCTTCCTTCTCCCATCTCCATCCCTTAAAAAAGAAATTATCTTGACATAGTCTACTACTAATCTTAATTATTAAATTGTTAGGAAGTAATGATTAACTCAAATACTAGATTCAAAGTCATTTATTTCCTCAAATACTTTGACCTGATTCGTCCAATCTGCTAATGAGCTACAATGATCACAAACAATTTTAGCCTATGATGAAGATCATTGAAAATTTTATTTTGCTTACTAAGTCATCAATTGCTGGGCCTCAGAGGCCCCAAAAAAGAATCACCCATATAATACATCAGCCAATCTTGCAATACAAAATCTAGAGTCTCCTCTTTTTTTTTTCTTTTTTTTTTTTGGGATAATAAATTTAGAGTCTCCTTGAACTCTCAAACCAAAAGATGAAGAATAAGACAATGAGATACAAGAATGGCAAAGTTGAAATCTTCCCGAATGGCTTCCTCACTTGTACCTTTCCAACCAAAGCTGAGAAAAAAAGAAGAAGAGATGCACAGCTGCATTAAGTTTAGCACTTAAAAGTAGTACACAAGCACTTCCTTGTTTCTTTCAACAGTCTTTTTCTTCTAAAAGTGCTAAAATGGGGAGATACGTGAGAGCATCCAAGTCAGCATCAAAGACTCAAAAGTACAAATACACAAGCAATTTTTAGCTTCTTTCAAGTTTCAACAGTCTGCTTCATCCATACCATCAACAGATATTGAATTCTGACACAAATAGTTAACATGGTTTACACCTGAATGGTTTGCAGGGACTTCTTGACAGTTTCTGCCATCATAAGAAGAAAAGAACCACACTTTGAAACCTCCATCATGCTAACAAAGAGAAACAAACTTCCAACTAGCAAAGCAATGCTGGTAAGTGGCAACAGGAAGGATAACACCATCAATCACCTATCCCTCATTGAGGTTGTTTTTCAGCAAATCCATATCACGCAAAACAGGATCGATGCAAATGGAGGCCATCTGTTCTTTTCTGGGATCTATTTTCAAGCTCAAATTTCAAGTGCTGCTATATGAGAAAGAAACCTCACCTCTCGAAAGCTATGAGTTGTTTCTTTATCCTGGAATCCTTTTTTTTTTTTTTTTTTTTTGTTGGGTAAAGTTAAAAGTAAATGAGATATTGACAACTGATATCAAAGTCACCCCTGGTTAATTACTTGGCCAAACAAGTTGGGTCCATTGATAAGATTGTCTACTTCCTCAACAAAAGCAATGTGTTCTAGTCTGCTAGAAATGTGTTGGTGGACGATTATAAACCTGAATCTAGAGTCAAAACTCACCAAACTATGATCAATTGCAAAAAAAAGAAAAAGAAAAAGGCGAATTACTTGGTTTACACATAGGGATAATTTCAGAAACCTCTCCAGGCACAGAGGAGAACATATTGAAGAAGGTAATCTATGATGAGATCACTCATAACTGGTACAAAGGAATTAGTACTTTAATTGCGCTGTAGTGTGAACCTGACCGCCATATTGATGCTGTTTGACAAAAAGTGAGACTCGTAGCTATCCGATAAATCATCTTCTTGGTCCTGCCAATCCCCAGTGACAACTCTTCCGTCGAGCCCTGAGTTGTATTGATACATGGAAGATACGATCAACAAACGCGGAGGCTCTCTCCATAGTTTCATTTGCAGGGATCTTTATCAGTCTTACTTTCTGCATTTGGCTAAAGTTAAAACCAAACCTTACCAAACATACATGTTCAATTCTACCATTTGAACTAAAGGGTTCAAGTTTGAATCTTGTTTTAACGTCATTTGAGGGGGTTGAGGAGAAGTACTGGGAAGTGAGGCCAGGGTGGTCGAGAAAGAGGGTGTGTCGTCTGAAAAATCAAGTGTTCCACTAGGAAAGATTGATAATCCCTGCGAAGCAATCACGCCCCCATTTTCTGCGTATCATATGTACTTTTAAGTCATCCAGAGTAAATTAACGAGTTACAGTGACTGATTCATCTTAACTGGGGAAGAGACGGATATGCACTCAACATGAGAGACATTACTAAATCCCCGAACCAAACTGGAAATTTCTTGTTTCAATGGTAGTATTAGTTGGCGGCATACAGAACCACAACAAGATTCTTGGAAAATTTGCAACCTTTCTCAATCATTGCACGAACAGAAGGAAAAATTTCACTGCAAGCTTCAGTTTAACGAGACAAAAAGTACTCTACAGTCAACAAACTGAAAAGCCAGTTAAAGAACAATTTACTGGATTCTGTGGCACACCTTAAAAGCAGGAATCTCATTCTTGTATATTTCAAAAGAAAACTTAACCGCATCAAAAGTGGAAATAGCTAGAAATTTTGCAATATTCTTCATAAAATTCTTGAAGAATAAATCACTACCTTACATAAGCTATGAGCAACAGCAATACATCATTGTTTCCAGCCAGCATGGGGATAAACACATTGAAGAAGCTACCATATAATAGGATACTATTTCTTGTAACAAGGCATTAGAATCTAGAATAACTACTCGAATTGCTCTGTAATGTGA